AGTTTAAGAACTCCACTTGGAAATTAAATAAAAATCCAAGGCACTGCATTTTTTATAAGATTCCTGGCGACTGGCAAGCCATAACCCTGCCTTTAAGGTCCTGCCACTGCAACCCACTTTACACTTTAGCTGGCCAGCTGGAATCCTTTTATTTTTCTTATATTCTCTTCTATTTTTATTCTTTTTGGTTTTTTTTGGTTTTTGTTTCCAGTGAAGCCCGAAATGCATGTGCATGTGCCAAAGGGCTGGCCGGCCGAGGGAAGTGCGGTGGTGGTGGCGTGGTGGGTACGTGCCACTGCGGGGCACATGGCAAGCGCAGTCATTGCGGCTAAAGCGGTTTCTGCGGTCTCCGGCAGCCGCAAGGCAGGGTAGCCTCGTCTCCTTCCCGCCAACCCAATGCCACCGGCTTAGCCATCTCTCTCCCACTCGCCGCAAACTGCTTATGGTCGTCGCCTTTGGCGTCGCCTGACGCTGCATTGATAAAGCCCCGCCACACCCCTACCCCCCAAGTAGTGTGGGGCGGTGGCGAGGCATGTGGCATGCACCAGTGTCTGTAAAACAGTCGTAGTTACAGTTACAGTTGCCGAAACACGAGCACCCCTCCTCCAGCTCGATGGCGAATTTAACAAGATTTCCGCAGTTTCGCCAAAGGGACAACAAATTTGATTACATTTATCCTGCGGCCAGGATTCAGAGGGGGGGTCTCCACTTGCCGCCACAAAAATGCAGTTATGGCTTCGATTTGGTATGAAATAAAAGATTATACAAGTCTCAAGGGGAGTCTAATAGGAAAGGGATATTGAAAGAGTGTAAGATTTAATAATTTTGATTATTGTTTTTATAATTTTAGCCTTAGTTACTCTGATAAAACAGATTTATTAGAAATAAAGTAAGAAAAGAAGTAAGGAAAATAAACAAGAAATATTTTATGAATATTAGAAGTATCTGTCCTTCACAAGTATTTATCTTTTCTATCTTCATGGTATTGACAGGTCCTTTAAATACTAAAATGAAAGACTCAAAAAGTTCCTTTTTTTTAAGAAAAAAGTATTCATTTCTTCAACAATATCCTTCTGTCTTTTAAAGAAAAATCTCTCTTTTTTAAGTCCTTAATTCTTTGTATGACTTTTAGCCATTTACTCGTATGCTTTTTATCCCTATTTTTCCTCCCATTCGAGAATCATTTTCTCTTCGCCCCCAGTTGGTATTTCGCTTTTATTTTTTTGTTTTCAGCCAGATACAGATTTTGGGGAAAAAGGGCAAAGAAAAAGGAGTTTTCCTCCAGCTTTCCTGCCACTTGACTCCCCTATAGCTCCTCCACTTACCCACCTCATGTGGCATGTTTATGTGTCCCTCTTGTTGTTGTTTTTATTCCATTAGATCATTTGAAATTCTATGCCAAGCAGTTGCTTCATGTGTATGTAATTTTTTTTTGCCATTTTTCCCCTTTTATTTGCATATAATATATGTATGTGTGTGTGAGTTTGGGGGTGTACTTCTAAGGACGTGTGTATGTTTGCATGCTAGTCCTAGTGTGGCATGTGGAAATTGTAACAATTCTTGAACAAAAATGCAGAAATGTTTTGTGTTTTGTGTTGCAAGCACTTTCGGCTTACAAGGCCCGGTTCGAGACGGGTTTTGTAAGTTATTAGGGCCCCCAAAAGTAGGCAATGCATGCGCCCTTACCTGCCTGGGTTTATGATGCAATTGCTGGAGCTTTTTTATGGAGTTTTCTACCCATTTGATAGCCCTCGGGTTGGCATACCTTTTAGTTTTCTTTTTTTTTAGCTTCCGGTTGTAAAAACAAAAGGTTCTTAAATTTCAATCACTTTTTTATGCGATTTTGATGACTTACTAATGGAAATTTATGAATATTTTGTTAGCTTATGGGTGTTGGGATTAAATTAAATAAATTTCAATAACCTAGTTGTAGCCTAGCTTAGTGGCTTTACCTCTTTTTATTATTTATTTTCATAACAATTAATTAAATATTTATTGCTTCTTCAATTGCAATTAAAATTCAAGTAATTCGGTGCAATTAACATTCCAAACTTTACATAAATTCGCCATAAATAGCATCTTTTTCCACCTGCCTCATAATTATTGGCATAATTATTACTCTCTTCTGTGGTTTTGGCGTTTCGTTTTAATCTTATTAGTAATTAATTGAGCGCTTAGATTGGCATTTCAAGCGTAAAGCTTTTTGCCATTTAATTGTTATAATTTTTGTTCAATTCCATAAATTATAAATCATTAGTGGGGGGCTACTCCCAATCGATTTCTGTGGAATCGAGCAATTTCATGTCCCTCCCATCTATGGCATTAATTATTTCATTTTTGTGGCTTTCGTCTAATGAAATTGCAATAATAAACAATTGGCACAGTTTGCGAGCCGCTGCAATGACCTCACAACTGTTATCGTTTCCCCGGATATGGCTGGCAGGGTAGGAGGCGGTTGGGGCATTAATCTTTATGCTTTCTGGCCAATGGAGGTGTGGAGGGGGGGGGACGACAGTCGTAAAAACCAACTAACGACGGTCGTCGGGCTACGGGTGGCAGTTTTGTGTTCCAGCCAGGATCCATAAACCCGCCTCGCCAGGTTGCCGGAGCACCTCCGCCTCCAACGTTTCGCTGGGTCCTACTCCCATTCAGGGAGTATTGAATATAAACAAATTTTAAAAAATATATGCAATTATGTAACTTTACGTGAGATAATAATGGTGTGTGCAGCGCATAATACCCTGTACTCATATTTAAAAATTCTTATTAAAGCCCAGGGTACATCCTCTGGTTGATCCCTTATTTTGGCCAGGACCTTTTCGGGCTATTTGCCTCCGAGGCAGAAGCGAGGAGGAAACGGCAAAAAGACAAATAAAAAATTTTGCGCTTTGCTGCTCGCTTTGCGTTTGGCATCTGTCAAAATGGCAGGGAGGTTGGGGGCACAACGGTGGTGGTGCTGTGGGAGTGGGTGGCGTTGTCTGGGGGTGGTGGCTTGATGGGTGCCTTTTCTGTCACGCAAACGTTTGAGCGGCAAATGACGATGTCGTTTGGCTTTCTCCCCACTCCCCCCCGCCTACTTGCCACACCATCCCCTTACCACCCCGCGGACGTTGTCTGTTTATAAACGAGTTTTGCATTAAAATTTACAACAAAAACAAGAAGAGCAACAATGGCAGCCAAACGCACACTAAAAATGGAGACATCAACCGGGAGAGGTGTGTGAGTGTGTCTATCTGTGTGGGTTTGTGTGTGTGGCAGGTGAATGTACCCGTTCTTGGCAATGACAGTACCCCCGTGCCACCTTCCCCTTTGCCTATTCCTTCCACATCCTGGCGCTGATTTGTCAGGACATAAAAAAAAGTACAGAAATATAAATGTTATGACTTTTATGGAAAGAGGAAGGCTAACCGGAAAATGAAACAGTTTTCTTTTTAAGGGGCTTAGGGGGCAACCAAAAAAGTGGCCAAATCAACAGTTTGCCAAACGAGACAAAAAAGGGACACGCATCTCAACCAAACACCTGAGAAAGAAAGTTATAGCATTATGCATTAAAACCCAAAAAAGAAAAGTTAATGTAGTAAGCAATTTTAAGGACTACAAAAAATACAGAAGGCCTAACAAGCCGCAAGAATGTAGGTAGTTTTAGAAAGAAGTATTATTATGAGTATAACCAAATATTATGGCCAAGTTAGTGGCGTTTTATTTTCTTGAAAGAGACAAGATAACCTTTAGAGTCTTCTTATATTAAACCCAATAATTCCCAAGAATTTCTATAAAAATTGAATAAAAGACAAGAAAGCGAATCAGGAAAGCCATAAACGAAGGAAAAATCATAACAAAAATTAAATAAAATTTGTCTATGCATTTTTATAACATTTTGCATTATATTTTCTATATATTCTCTTTAACAAAACCCTATGTTGGTCTAGAATTTATATAAAATTGGAATAAGAGACAGGGAAGCAATAAAAGAAGGAAATATCATAACAAAGCTTAAATAAAAGCCACACTAATGCTTCAAAACTGCCTAAAGCAACTCTAGTTCTTAACCTGTTTTCTTAAACGAAAATCCTTTGTTAAAACCCTAAATTCTATTATCAGTGAAATAAGTCTGAAAACCTTAGAACCATCCAACTAGAGAGCCCTTTAAACCCAATACTCCATCACCCTCTATTTGAGAAATACAAAGAAAAGCATTGTGCATTCGAGTAAAATGCAAAAGAAATTCAAGTGAATTTTTGGCTCTATGGCCGAAACCAATGGCAATTTGCCTGGCTTAATAAACTGGCAGTCGGCAAGGGCCCTGGGCCCGGAGCTGGGGCCAGGAACTGAACAATTGGCCGAAACAAAATCGACTTACTGGCCATCTCGTGAACCCCAGGCCATGCATCAAACCATTGGGCCACCTCCACTACTCCCGGCCACTTTCAGCATCTCCGTCAGCACTTCTACTATGCTTTTTTTTTTGGCCAACAATTTTTTCTCTCTATTTTTCCTTTCCATTCTGTGCTCTGGCTGGTGTTTTGGTTTTTATGGTCAAAAACGAACTGCGGCAGCTTTTGGCATTTGCCATCAGTTCACACCAACACTGACACACTCACGCACACTCGCACACAATTAAGCAGATATACACACAGCTGGCAGGACAGCTGTGTGTGTCATGTCGAGAGCCATAAATCATTTATTTGAAAATTGCTATTGTATTGCGGTTTAATAGCATGTGATCATCATCATCATCATCAACAGGCGCAGGGACAGCAGCAGTCCAGGCACTACCTTCCTACTTACCACACCCACTGGAGCTCACTGGACAGTAACTCATGGACACTGGCAAAAATTGTAGAGCTTTAGGTGGTGCTCGAAGTTTAAACATATAAATATATGTTTTTGGTTCCTTTGGTAGGTAACTTTCATGAGAAGCGTAGAGAAGGGCGCTCTGCCTAGGACTTCTCAAGAAGTCTGGAGGTTGAAGCCTAAAACGATAATAAATCAATGACAGGTTCCAAAAAACAAACAATTTTTTTTATTTATTTAGCTTGATAGAGCATTATACAACAATTCAGGAATTTTCAGCTGGTTGGGTAGTTGTTTTCTTCACAAGCTTCCAAGACCATTCTATTCCAGAGTTCTTCTTTTTTTTGTCCTCTCCAGAAACGAGATCAGTAACACATTTTTATGAACGATATTCCGAAAAAAACATAAAACTTGAAAACGCCGCTCACGAGTCAAAACTCGACTAGCGGAAGTAGAGGCTTAAGATATACTGCTTGCGAAGGAGGCTGTAGACTTCCAGCCACCATTCGACTTGTTCAATGCCAGTGATAAATAGTCCAATGTAGATCATCATGCCCGAGAACATGGTCCCCGGCTTGTTGCCACGAGCCAAGTGTAGAAAGACCCGGAAGTAAAGCGAGAAGTTTGAGATGAAATTAGTCAACGCCGATGCGGCCCAGGGTAGTGCGGCAATGAGGCCCAGTTTCGGATTGCCAAGCATGAAGCGTTCTGGAAGGAAGTGAATGGGTATCATCGCCATCAGGGTTAGTCCCAAAGCAACCATGAAATCATCTGCGACTGTTGGATATTCAAAGGTCGCGGTGGTGGTCTCCTTGCCGAGTTCCAAGTGCAGGACGACCTTTGGAGTCGCCATGATAACGAGCAGTAGTGTGGTTGCGTATGCAATCTGGGTGAGTTTCATAAAAGCTCCCACTGCCATGATGAAAATGAATTCAATAAATATTAATTTTTTTTTTTGATAATTTAGGATACTTGCTTTTTGTTCCACGTTTGACTTGAAACTGCTTTCAATTGAATCACTGACTACATACAGCTATTCTACAGCCTACTTGGGGATACTTTTTGAAAAGTGTTGCTGGTTGGTCGCCTACTTCGTGGCATATTCATAGCATCGTTACATTTAATATCTGAAATCGCAGTGTGGGGGTCATAGGTCGGGCAGGGTCTGTCGCTGGACGAGTGGAGAGTTAGTGGCATGCCCCAATATGCCCATTAATTATAATGCCGCACTGCGAGCAAAGCGAATGTTTGAGGGGTCTGGACTGACTTCCGTTTTTGCCTTTGCTCCCCTGCCTATGTTTGTGTGTAGACCACGCCCTCTACGCCGCCCACAAACACAAACATACATCCATAGAACATATGCCGCACGTTCACCGCCTTTGTCGCCTCTTTCTGTTTTCTCTTTTTTTCGTTGTTGGCTGTGTCGTGTTGTGGCTGTGATTTTGCTGCCTTTCCACCGATTTTCCATCGCTTTTCTGTCGCTTTTCCAACGCGTAGGGTATAACGAGGTCATTTGGCAATATACCAACACAAACAAAAATTATGTTATTGGTCAATGTATTTATGAGTACGCCAGGATGGTCAGGACGTACGTATGTGCATACCTCTCGTTTTCTGTATATCCTTACATACATATATGTATGTATGTTTGTAGGTAGTTGTGTGCCTGCTGCTGCCACTGCTGCTCCTGCCTTTTGCGAAAATTGCACGAAAATTGGAAATTTATTGCCCAGCAAGATAGTGGGAGAAGAGGCCGGATTGCAGAGAGAGAAGGGGGGTATACCAACATGCGCTAATGACATTGTGCTGTGGTTTGTCACCACCACCTATTACGCCCCTCCACTGACCACCCCGAGCTCCCCACTCACACACACGCATACCTCTTCCCCTCCCAGTTGTGGGCATTTCATTGGGAATCTTGCAATTCCCTAGGATTCTTTGTTAAACCATCGCATTCTCATACAAATTCCATCAAAATGGCCATTACATTCTGGCCAAATTGTTCTCGATCCATTGCTTATTTTATCACTAGATTCAAATAAGCCAATTTCTCCGAGACGGGTCTGGTTTATGGGCGAGGATATTGGAGAAGTTGGTAAGGGCTGGCTGGAGGGACCTCATGTTAGAAGGAGGCGAGGAGTTCTTGGATTTTAAGACCTTTTATTTCAAATTCTTTAAAAGTTTTCTGAGATATTATTATTTAGCTTGAAGGGTATTAAAGATATTGGAGGAATAAGTTACAGAGGGTATCTCCTCTTCTTCAATCCGAAAATTCCTAAACATTCCAGCAACTTTAAAGCTTGTTTGTGAGAAAAAAGCGTGACAATCTCCGATTAGACACACTTTCTGCCTCTCAAAGCAGTTCCTCCACCAGTCTGATCGAAGCGACGGGAAGATGCACCCGGCTGGCCTGACAGGCTGGGTGGCAATGCTCGCTGTGTTGCCGCTATGTGGTGGCTCCCATCGTCTGCCCACGTGGGTGGTGCCGACACAATATACTCTCGATATCCTGGTGCGGGTCGATCAGCCCTACCAGCCCTTCGAGGGCGCAGTTTCCATCCAAATGCAAGTGGAGAAGCCCGTTAAGAGATTCCAGTTGAATTCCCTTGGCCTTGAGGTCAAAATCATGGGCGTTAAATTGACATTGAAGTCTCCAGTCCGAAGGGTTCCAATCGAGTCCGTACAGTTCAACGAGAAAGCAGGTCAGATGACCATTACTGCTCAGGTGGTGCTTTCGGCGAACGCCACCTACGTCCTTAGTGTGTCCTTCAACAGTGTCCTGCGAAAAGATAACGTCGGACTGTTCAGTAGCTCCTACGTGGACCAGAACACCACTCTGACTCAGTGGATGGCGGCCACCTACTTCGAGCCGATCTTTGCCCGGCAGGCCTTCCCCTGCTTCGACAACCCCATGTTCCGGACCCCGTTTACCATCCGAGTGGGTCATCCCGCCCAGTTCCGGGCACTATCCAACATGGGGGCATTGGGCATTACGCGTCAGTGAGTACGTTAGCAAACCTTTGACAATCTCTTCAAGAACTCCTATTCTCTGCCCAGTTCCAAATTAAAAGGGTATGTGTGGACTTCCTTCGCAAGTACTCCGCCCATTCCCACGTACATGGTGGCCTTTTCAATCTTCCAATTCGACGTTCCGGGCTCCATCACCCAGCAACGTCCGGAATCTCCCATCAGCATCTGGGCCCGGCCGGATGCTCTAGCCCAGACGGCCTATGCCACCCAGGTGGCGCCTCAGCTGTTCGTCTTCTACGAGAAGCTCTTTGGCATTAAGCTGTACTTCTCCAAGATCGATCTGCTGGCTGTGCCGGACGCGGATTACTGGGCGCGGGAGAGTCTGGGCCTGTGGACCTTTGCCGAGTCGGCCATTCTGTTTGACAGCCAGCGGAGCACCCTGGCGGACCAGCAGGGCGTGGCCCGGGCGGTGGCCATATCGGTGGTGCGTCAGTGGTTCGGCCATCTCGTCTCCGTCACCCGGTGGCAGGAGCTCTGGCTGAAGAACGCCTTTGCCCTGTACTTCTCCACCTACGGAGTGGACGCCCTGACTCCCGAGTGGGAGTACAAGGAGCGTTACGGATTGAAGCTGTATTTCGGAGTCCTGGAGACCGACTCGTACACACACACGGATGTGGTGGCCGCGCCGGTGTCCAGTGAGTCGCACATCGAGACGGCCTTCCTCGAGAACGGGGAGCGCAAGGCGGCCGTTCTGCTGAGCATGCTGAGCCACATGGTGGGCGAGGAGGCGTGGAATGCGGGTGTGAAGCGCTACCTCACCGTGAATGCCAATCAGAGCGCTTCGGCGAGGGACTTCTGGGAGGTCCTGCAGCTGCAATGGGACCGAGACGTCCGCCTCGGCAAGGGACTCAACATCACCCGGATCATGGACAGTTGGCTGAGCTATCCGGGCTATCCCTTGTTGACCGTCACCCGTAACTATGGCCAGAAATCGGCCCTGGTAGTGCAGCAGAGGTTCCACATAAGCCCCCAGGCAGAGCAGAAGAAGGAGGATAACAAGCCCCAGCAGCCCCCATGTTGGTGGATACCGCTCACCTACACCTGCGGCAGCTGCAAAGACAAAGGCAACAGCTCGGTGCCTCGACACTGGCTGACCTGTCCCACCAGTGACGGCAGCAGTCGACCCGTTCCCGCGATGATGCGCGACGTGGTGGATGGTCCCACGGACTGGCTGCTTCTCAACATCCGGCACTCGAGTCCCTTGCGGGTCAACTACGATCTGCGGAACTGGGAGCTGATCAACAAGACCCTGTCGAGTCCAGAGACCTTGCGCTCCATTCATCGCGTAGATCGCGCAAAGCTGGTGGACGACATCCTGAACTTGGCCTGGAGCGGGGTGATGGACTACCCCACGGTATTTGGCATGCTCGGCTTCCTGGAGCACGAGGACGAGTATGTGGTGTGGGATGCCACGGTTACCAACTTCGAGAGGATCAATAATGTGGCCAAAAGGCATCACAGCTACCTCATCTTCAAGGTGACGTTCCCCCACCAGAGTTCGAGGGAGATCCCTCCTAACAACCTAGTAATTTTCAGACTTTTATGCGGAATTTGGTCAAGGGACAATTCGACAAGGAGTTCGGCGCGAACCGGACCATAAATAAAGAGGAGAAGGTGTCCCATCGACCGGTCATCCTGCAGCTAGCCTGCCAATATGAGCTGCCCGCCTGCCTGAGCCTGGCCCGGAGGGAATTCGCCGAAATTAGTGCTGCGCCGTGGCCGAGAGAGGGCGGCTGGATGAGCATTCGGGAACAGGAGACCGTGTTGTGTACGGCCGTGCGCTTTGGCACGGACGTGGACTGGGACGTGGTCGATGGCCTCTATCAGCGTTCCAACTTCACCGCCGAACAGGAGTCCCTGCTCTCGGCCCTGGCCTGTTCCCGGAACATATACGCTCTGGAACGAATGCTCAAGTCGTCGTTTCAGAGTGACGGAGTTCGGAAATCAAAAAGAGCTTTCCGGGCCATTGTCTCGAATCCCCTGGGGTATCGAATAGCCATCGATTATATCTCGGAAAACATCCAACTTGTGAAGAACTTGTAAGTCCTGGGAGGTGCTTTGCAAGATTATTTATTTCTTTTCTTGACATTTTTCCAAAAAGTTGCAACAATTCAACCACCAGTGTGGTGGATTTAATGAAACCTTTGGCGGAGAATCTCATAATGGAGAGCGAATTGCAGTTCCTGGAGAAGTCCCTGACCGGGCAACTAAAGGATATTGCGGGGATTGACGAGATGATGAAGTTACTCCTTGAACAGGGCAGCAACAACATTCACTGGCTTAGCTCTAAATACGAACCGATGCTGAGGGCTATCAGGGATATATCACTCTGGAAGTATCAGAGTTGAGAGCCCGTAGTACCCATCCCACTGAGTTGTAAGAATAATAAACCATATAGTATTTAGATTTTTATATTTTTGCTCGACATTAAGCCCTCTTTGTGTGACATAACTGGTGATGGGTCGGTCGGTTCGCAGGGGCAATTAGTGGAGCTGCATATCTGCTGCTGCCAGTTGGCATTTTCCAGTTTGTGCATCATTCAGTTGCGCCACGCAGTTGCAGTGGCAAATGCGCATTAGCAGGCCACACGAGGCAGCCAAGTGACAACTGACAATTGACAACCGACAACGACTGACGACTGACGACTGCCAGATGATGAGTGTGTGGCACGAACAAGGGCGGTGGCACTGTGACTAGGAGGCACTATCTATCGGCTTACATGCTCACACACTATCCTGTGCCACCCCCGCCTCCCTCTGTGGACCAAAAGGGTGGGGGCGTTGCCTTAAGGCGCTTAGTTTTGGACTCCTGGGCCCCAGAATCGAACATGGTTATGCAACTGCAGCTCTCGGGGGGGTTCTGTGAGGTTTTTGGTGGTTTCTTGCTTTAGTGTTGCGGTTTTTTGGGGCATACAGAGAGAGAAAAGGATTTAGAAAATAATTACGAAATACATCTTCGACTTTATGGGATATAGATTTTAAAACTGTTTAGAAAAGTGACAGTATTTTCAAAGAAAAACACATTTTTATAATAAAATTTGTATAATTTTTGACAGTGCATATGTATGGGGAACTGGAAAAATCATCATCATTAGCATACTTGGGGGGGAGTGGGCGGTTGGTGGCTATCATTGCTCTCATTGTGGGTGTGTGGGATTTCTGAAAATGGCATCAAATTCAGCGGCTAATTAGCTTCTTATTTGCCGTTTTCGCTTTTAGCCATTTTTAGCCGTTTTTCGACGCGAGAGTGTCAGGGCTTATTACGCAAACAAAAAGCTAATGAGCTGAGTCTCAAATTTCTGGTATTAGTCGTGTCAGGACCGAGTCGGCTTCCGAATGGAATGGGTTTTCCATGATGACAGGGTTTCTCATTTATTCAAAGCCTGGCAGGCAGGCAGGCAGGCAGGCAGGCGGGCAGGCGGGCAGGCGACTGGCTACCAAGAACACAACAAAAACTGAATGAATGCAACTGTAATTTACAATTCTCTATTTTCAAAAGGGGCTAGGGGGGTCTGGGGAGGGGTCAGAGGTCAGTGGCTAGCCAAGCGTCAAACGTTGGCCAGAGACTCTGTATTTACATGTTGTTGATTTGCAGTAAGTTACTTCCTTCCTTCCTGTACATCTATTTTGTTCTTTTGTACAACTTGTCCGGTGTCCTTCGTCCTGTTCGTCCTGGTTTTTCAATCTCCTCCTGGGCCAGCTTCGGCCAAGAATCGACTTTTGTTGCCTGGCCATTTGGCTGCCATGGCTTTTGTTCGTTTTTGGCCTATTGTTTAAGCCTTTTCCATTATTTAAATGCAATTTTAGATGCCTAGCCTTCTCAGCCCTCTGGATTTCATTTTCCTTCTTGTTTTCTCTCATTTTTTTGTTTACGGCATCTATTTCGTTGGACATTCAATATGCCAGAGATCCTGTCGCCGCCATTTCTAATCCTTCTTTGGAAAAACAAGCCACTGAAGCCCTTCAATCTCTCCGGGCTGTATTAATTACAACTCATCCTTTGTGGCACAAAACTGCAACTGCAACAGCAACTGCAACTGCCACATTGTAGCTCGTAATTGAAAATATTTCCACACCAAGCCACACCCCAACACACACACACCCAAAATTGCATAAAATTAATTGCCATTCATAATCAATGAGCTAGAAAAAATAAATTGAAATTTAATTGAAATGTTGCATTTTGTATGCAAATAAATAAATAAATATTTAAGAGAGCGACGCTGAGCGAAACCATCATAAATAATAAACAGTTCAAGGAAATAAAACTTAAAAAACCAGTGGCATTTAGCACATTTTTTATTAAATGTTTTTTTATTAAAACTATGTCGGTCTATGCCAGAAAGCTTAAAAAAAACATTATGCTTAGAGAAGTGTGCGTTTTGGTATCTCTTTTAACAAATGGTTTCCGTTTTGTGGTTTTCTGGCTTAAATGATTTTTTTTTAATATTTATGGCCTAGAATTAAGTTCAAAGCTGTATTTTAGAAAAATATTCTCGGATGAAAATTGGGGAAGATATAGCCATCGCGGTGGGCCCTAGAGGGGAAAACCCCATTTTCAAGGGATCCCATCGAAAAATGGGAAAAAAATCTGAAAAATATTTTGTCTCAGGGGTTTGATGCAGAATGGTGGAGAATCGTTCCACAAATCGATTAAGGTACTTGGCTTGAGAATCGGATGAGAATTAGCGAAGATATAGCCATCGCGGTGGGCCCTATAGGGGAAAACCCCATTTTCAAGGGATCCCATCTAAAAATGGGAAAAAAATCTGAAAAATATTTTGTATCAGGGTTTTGATGCAGAATGGTGGAGAATCGATCCACAAATCGTTTAAGGTACTCCGCTTGAGAATCGGATAATAATTGGCAAAGATATAGCCATCGCGGTGGGCCCTATAGGGGAAAACCGCATTTTCAAGGGATCCCATCGAAAAATGGGAAAAAAATCTGAAAAATATTTTGTCTCAGGGTTTTGATGCAGAATGGTGGAGAATCGATCCACAAATCGATTAAGGTACTTGGCTTGAGAATCGGATGAGAATTAGCGAAGATATAGCCATCGCGGTGGGCCCTATAGGGGAAAACCCCATTTTCAAGGGATCCCATCGAAAAATGGGAAAAAAATCTGAAAAATATTTTGTCTCAGGGGTTTGATGCAGAATGGTGGAGAATCGTTCCACAAATCGATTAAGGTACTTGGCTTGAGAATCGGATGAGAATTAGCGAAGATATAGCCATCGCGGTGGGCCCTATAGGGGAAAACCCCATTTTCAAGGGATCCCATCAAAAAATGGGGAAAAAATCTGAAAAATATTTCGTCTCAGGGTTTTGATGCAGAATGGTGGAGAATCGATCCACAAATCGATTAAGGTACTTGGCTTGAGAATCGGATGAGAATTAGCGAAGATATAGCCATCGCGGTGGGCCCTATAGGGGAAAACCCCATTTTCAAGGGATCCCATCGAAAAATGGGAAAAAATCTGAAAAATATTTAGTCTCAGGGTTTTGATGCAGAATGGTGGAGAATCGATCCACAAATTGATTAAGGTACTTGGCTTGAGAATCGGATGAGAATTAGCGAAGATATAGCCATCGCGGTGGGCCCTATAGGGGAAAACTCCATTTTCAAGGGATCCCATCGAAAAATGGGAAAAAATCTGAAAAATATTTTGTCTCAGGGTTTTGATGCAGAATGGTGGAGAATCGATCCACAAATTGATTAAGGTACTTGGCTTGAGAATCGGATGAGAATTAGCGAAGATATAGCCATCGCGGTGGGCCCTATAGGGGAAAACCCCATTTTCAAGGGATCCCATCGAAAAATGGGAAAAAAATCTGAAAAATATTTTGTCTCAGGGTTTTGATGCAGAATGGTGGAGAATCGATCCACAAATTGATTAAGGTACTTGGCTTGAGAATCGGATGAGAATTAGCGAAGATATAGCCATCGCGGTGGGCCCTATAGGGGAAAACCCCATTTTCAAGGGATCCCATCGAAAAATGGGAAAAAAATCTGAAAAATATTTTGTCTCAGGGTTTTGATGCAGAATGGTGGAGAATCGATCCACAAATCGTTTAAGGTACTCCGCTTGAGAATCGGATAATAATTGGCAAAGATATAGCCATCGCGGTGGGCCCTATAGGGGAAAACCGCATTTTCAAGGGATCCCATCGAAAAATGGGAAAAAATCTGAAAAATATTTTGTCTCAGGGTTTTGATGCAGAATGGTGGAGAATCGATCCACAAATCGATTAAGGTACTTGGCTTGAGAATCGGATGAGAATTAGCGAAGATATAGCCATCGCGGTGGGCCCTATAGGGGAAAACCCCATTTTCAAGGGATCCCATCGAAAAATGGGAAAAAAATCTGAAAAATATTTTGTCTCAGGGGTTTGATGCAGAATGGTGGAGAATCGTTCCACAAATCGATTAAGGTACTTGGCTTGAGAATCGGATGAGAATTAGCGAAGATATAGCCATCGCGGTGGGCCCTATAGGGGAAAACCCCATTTTCAAGGGATCCCATCAAAAATGGGGAAAAATCTGAAAAATATTTCGTCTCAGGGTTTTGATGCAGAATGGTGGAGAATCGATCCACAAATCGATTAAGGTACTTGGCTTGAGAATCGGATGAGAATTAGCGAAGATATAGCCATCGCGGTGGGCCCTATAGGGGAAAACCCCATTTTCAAGGGATCCCATCGAAAAATGGGAAAAAAATCTGAAAAATATTTTGTCTCAGGGTTTTGATGCAGAATGGTGGAGAATCGATCCACAAATTGATTAAGGTACTTGGCTTGAGAATCGGATGAGAATTAGCGAAGATATAGCCATCGCGGTGGGCCCTATAGGGGAAAACTCCATTTTCAAGGGATCCCATCGAAAAATGGGAAAAAAATCTGAAAAATATTTTGTCTCAGGGTTTTGATGCAGAATGGTGGAGAATCGATCCACAAATTGATTAAGGTACTTGGCTTGAGAATCGGATGAGAATTAGCGAAGATATAGCCATCGCGGTGGGCCCTATAGGGGAAAACCCCATTTTCAAGGGATCCCATCGAAAAATGGGAAAAAAATCTGAAAAATATTTTGTCTCAGGGTTTTGATGCAGAATGGTGGAGAATCGATCCACAAATCGATTAAGGTACTTGGCTTGAGAATCGGATGAGAATTGGCGAAGATATAGCCATCACTGTGGAGCCTATAGGGGACTATATCCTATAGGAGTTCAGTTTCTATTTAGTGACTTATAACCTTAACCCTTATAAGTCTCCCATTTATCGCATAAACCTGTTGCCCATTAGGTCCAGAAGCTCAAATCTCGACCAAGTCGGCAACCATTAGCCGAATTGTCAGTGGCCTTAAAAATTCATCCAAAATGCTCGTTGTGCTCTGGCTTTGGCCAATTAATC